TCCAATCAAGTCACAGGATAGAACCATGAAGAACTAATGTTACTGAACTCCAGTAGAAAAATATACCAAAGATGATTTCCTTCCTTCCAAAAACTATGCCATCTACATGGTCAACAAAAAGCAAACAGCAGTAATTGAATGTGTATGTCTAAAATGAAATTACATTTGGTGATAAACATATGATGATCTATTTTGGACTGCAAACCAAATTTGAAAGTTATTTTCTTCAGGTGACCTTTTTTCAGGGATTTTTTCCTTTTGTATACAGTACTGCTGAAGGTGGACAGGAAAAGGGGGGGGGGGGTGATATGCAGCAAAGGGCAGCATTCAGATTCAAAGTAGTCAGCTAGTTAAGGTCCCTTTATATAAAAAGGAGCCTTTGTACAAGTGTCACCAACAGGTGAGCTAAAGGGCACCCGGGACTTGTCAGTCTTGACTTGGGACTTGACTGCAAAGACTTGAGACTTACTTTTGACTTTCAAAACAATGACTTGGTTCTGCCTCTGCAAAACAGTTCTTGATGTGAATTTTACTTAAAGTGAAATATGGACAAAATCCATTGTGATCCTTTTCATTATGTCTTTACACTAAATCATACTTGTGGTGGCATTAAATGTGGTTTTTATCAACTGTTCCAGGTTAACTCTGTACTAATCTGCTTTTCCAAAAAATAAATGTACTCTCTTTTTTTATGTTTAGATTTCATGGGTAAAAAGAGTGATATGCGTTCAGGAGATGGAGAACCTTCAGCTCAAATGTTTGGGGCGCTGCTGGGGCTCCAGGATGCTGTCGTCACGTGGATGTCACGCACCCGTCAGAGAGTTATTCAGGGCTTTACTGTGTTCTCCATTGTCTTTCTGCTCCTCTGGATTTCAGCCTTTTTATATGGCAGCTTCTACTACTCTTACATGCCCATGGCGGCCTTTTCCACACCTGTGCACTATCACTACAGGTGTGTATGTAATATCTTGTCCAGCTGCATCAGACTGTAATTTATGTCTTGTAATTTTATCTTTCTGGCTTTCCCATGTTTATCTACAGGACGGACTGTGAATCTCCTGCCTCTTTTCTATGCTCTTATCCAATGGCCAACATCTCTCTGATGAGGAATAAGAAACATGTATGTATGAATTTGCTGTGCATCAATCTGTGTATTTGTATCTACCTCTTCTCCCATGAGTGTTACCTTTTAAAAATGTACATTCAGGTGCTGACATTTGGCCAGGCCTATCAGATGTCTCTGCAGCTGGACATGCCTGATTCTCCGACCAATCAGGAGTTGGGGATGTTAATGATCAAGACTACCTGTTTCTCTGGGAAAGGAGGGCAGGTTGCCTCCTCTGCTCGCTCTGTGAGTTGTTGATTTGTTCATCTCCAAATGTGTGCCTTAAATCAAATAATGCTTCATTGTTAGTTCATGCTCAATGATTCACTGTTGCATTGCTGTGTGTTTCTCAGGCAAGACAACTGCTGTCCGCGTCCAGCTCTCGCTTTGTGAGTACAGCGCTGACGTACATTAACCTTTAATCACTCAGCCTGGTCAGATTAGACTGCTTGTGCTTGCTGCAACAGAATGTGATCTCAGTGTTCAGGTGATGATAGAGATGTCCACACAAACATGTGAATGTATGATTGTTAAATGAAATACATCATACATATATCTTCCAGGAATATATGATGTGTAAAGTATGCTATTATTAATTTAAATCAGCTATTCTCCTTCACCAGAGGTACTGCCGGATATTTGCATCCCAGTTCTTTTTTTCTCTATTGTTTGTCAAGTTTTGTTTAGTTGCTATTTATTTTGGAATGTGGTCCTTACAGCAGCTTAAGATCCTCTGACTTAAATTACTCGATTGAGTGGTTACAAAAAGAAACCAGTACTCTTATAAATACTACTTATTTTGAAGCCTCAAACTTTATTAAAGAGGTGTTGATATGGTATTTTTACTAAAGCTGCATTTTTGGTTTGTTTTTGCATAACGTGTTTTGAATTTTATGTATATTAATTAGAAACACAACAATTTGAAAGACCTTTCAGTCACATGCAATGCCAGAACGAGGCCTAAAACTGCTAGAACTGAGACAACACAACAAGTTTAAAACAGAAGAACTTTACAGAACTATTGTATTACACTTTATAACACTGTACAAGGGGGAGTCCACTGAGATCAGCCTTTTGTCAACGCTTATTAAACATTAAACATAACCAAATAATTGAGTTATATGCAAAGGTAAAGCTTTTGCATGTGTGTGTATGTCCTACATGTGGGACGAGCTATTCATATGTTAATAGCAATGAATAACAGTTCTAAGATTTCTGGTCTGATATGTATGTAATGTGATAAATAGATGATAGATACAGGTTCTTATTTTATGTAATCTGATTGAGTAATCCTGATTAAATGTAATCTGTTACAGACTGAAATAATTTATTGACAGTACTATGTCTGTATGACTGTGTTGCCCTACGGTTCAGAGTATGCTCCGGTACCGCTCAGAGCTGCTGAGGTCTCTGAGCACGCTGCTGTTCCTCCCGGCCTTTCTGACCGGAGTCTCTGAGCAGAAACAAGTGCTGGAAGTGGAGCTCTTCTCAGACTACACGGACGACCCAGTGAGTCCTGGACTGCTTCATCGACGTGTTCAAATGTGTCGTGTTTTGTTGACTAAAAAGTTTGCCTTCATGTGTATAGTATCTCCCATCGGTCACGGCCGTCATTGAGATCCTCTCCAACAAAGTGCAGATCTACTCATCCCAGCTCAACATACATGCCCACTTCACTGGTATAAGGTAACATCTGTACCATGTTTTAATTTAGATATGATGTTAAATATCTGATGATGAAACAAGAAGAAAAACAGAGGGACAGTCACAGTAGCCCCCAGTCACATTTATTAATTTAGATTTAGATCGTTTTAGTGTGAGTTGCAGAGAGTTGGAGATATGGAGAAGATGTCTCCCTCCTCTTGAATATAATGGAAGTGATCGTCACTTGGCCATTGGCGTTCAAAACCCCAAAGACATATGAAAAACTCAGCAGCAAATTGTACTTGCATCACAGCAGCTCCATTTGCAACATCAAAGAAGGACACATATTAAGACATAATACAAGGAAAACAAACATTTAACATAACATCACGATCACTGAATAAGAGCATGCTCAGAGACCCTCTAACGTACATTAGACTTCATGCAGGAACTTTTTTATATCTACTAAACTGCACCTGCTTACAATGGAACACTAGTGTCTGGTGTAGTTCCTGCATGTGTAAAAAATATAAAATCCTTTCTGCACGTCTGAATAAAAAATATACAACATATGATATAATAAATACAAGTTATAATGACTCTTCTATCTTTGTATTCTCTATTAGATATTTGTTGTTCAACTTCCCTCTCCTCTCAGCCCTGGTGGGCATGTCCAGTAACTTTGTCTTCCTCAGTCTCCTCTTCGTCCTCAGCTATGTGAAGCTGCTGTTGAAAGAGGATTGGGCACCAGTGCAGGTGAGAGAAGAGCCGTTACTGCAGACACGTAACTGCAGCTGCAGCCCTGCACACTTCATGAGTTTGGTGTTCCATGATAACGTGAAATATATTCCTCTCGGTTGTTGTGTCTCAGCCTCAACGAGCTCTGAGTGCATGTTCTTCTGCTTGTTTACAGCTCAGAACAGATGGCGGTCGGAACATCAACCAAGAGGATCACAGCAATGCTGCTGGAGGTACAAAAAACACACTGAGAGAATTTCAATGTTTTTTAAAGTTATTTGCCTAAGAGTCTAAGACACTTGATAATGACTACAAGAATGAATCCCTCTGTAGGTACAGCAGAGCTGGTGGGTCCACGAATGTGAGCGGAGAGAGGCCCCATCTGCACTGTTGCAACAACCCAGAGCTGCAGAACAGACAGGTTCAACCTCAGATTTAAATACGATTCGGAGGCCTTTCAAGGATAATGAGAAAGTGTAGTGAGCGATAACAAGATGTAATGGTGAATACTTGAGACGGCTGGAAATGACTCAGAAAGCACCCACAGACTTCCGAAGCTCTGTGTTTGTCTGAAGCTCTGTTTGTCTCACACTCTTTCAGCACTGTTTCAAGTCTCTCATGCCTTTGTTAATACTCTGCACCTCAACATTTGGATTAGTAGTTCAATCAAAAAAACTGTTCAACAATATTCAATAATTCGATAAGACATTAGAAAGTAAATAGTATAGTGATACATACAGACAAAAACATGAAATTGTGAAATAATCAGATTATAACCCTGAATTGTTATTTCTATGGAAATACTATATTCCCTTTAGCTGCAGCTGAAATGCAAGATTGTAAAGCTGTTTCATTTTTAATGTAAAGACATGCCGGCTAACATATTTCTCTAAGTTCTTAAAACCTGCTCACTGTCTTTTCTAACTGATAAGTAGTCCACCTCACAAATACTGTGAAGTTAAGTTATTTCAATAAGGTTTGTGTGAAAAGGATCTTGCTTAACTGAATGACAACTATGATGACAATCCACATTTTCACAATAGAAATATTAAAGTGATGAAAATAGATGATGTTAAAACTTCTTAAAACCTGTTTTTTGTTACTTGATCAAAATGCACAAAGATCTCAAACCTGTTTTTGCCTCTTTCTACATCAAAAAATATATGAACACAGATTTAGTTATGTGAGTTATTAAGTAATGGCTGCAAATTATTTCTTAAGTGTACATTCTGTTAAACTGTTGCAATAAAACCTTTACAAAAATGTTTCATCAGGCTTCTGTTTGAATCTTTTCAGAGATTACTGCCTCTAAACAGTTAACACACAAAGTGCACTCTCATTATTGGCGGACATGTTATAGTATTTCCATCCTGCTATCTGACGTAGTGTCGATCCTGGATGTCCTCTTGAAGCTTTGGAAACTTAATGACGCCACTGCATGCAAAACTTTGCACCACCAGTGAGAATGAGAGAGAGATGTAGCTCACTGACGGTCACAGTGCTTTCTAACAGGTGGCAGACACAGGTAAGGTAAGTTATCCACATGCAATCATTTGTAGTTCTATATTTCCATTTGTGTAATTTGAAGAAAGCTTAGAAATATTACTGTGGAGGTGTTAAACTGGAGTTTAGACTTGTAAATGAATTTCCTCAAACACATTCAAAACTGTGTATCTTTTGTAAACATTTCCCTGTTTTTGTATAAGCACATGCATGTGTTCATGGAGTAGTGGCGCACACCTACGCTCTCACACTGGACTGTGAGATGGATGTGATGATGGATGATAACTACATGGAGGGGATGGAGATGGAGACGGAGAACAATCCAACAATGGATACTGACTTTTCTTCAGATAAGACGTACCAACATCTGACAATTAGAGAAGGGACTTCCAGTAGCTGCAGGAGGGTCAAAGTGAGATCCAGACCCAGACTCCAGTCCACAAAGAGCTTCCCCCCTTACAATCAGTGCATTGGGGGACTCGGAGAAGACGGGGATGGAGACGATGAGCTCAGTCAGTCGAGCGATGTGATGAGGGAAGACAGGAATGAGGTCTGTCAAGGCACAGAAAGAAACATTGAATTGATCCCAAGATGCGCAAGGGATGAAGTAAAGGAACAATGGAGGATGAGGAGGAAGGAAAGGGTGGGGGGCCGCGGTGAAGATACAGATGGATTGGAGAGGTGGAGTGGGAATAGAAGAGTGGAAGAGAAGAGCGAGTGTGAGGATAAGGGGATGGAAGGGGGCACAAACAGCGAGTGGCAACACTGCAGAGGTAGAAACTGTAGTTTTGAGATTGAAGAAGTGGATGAAGAGAGGAAGACATCGTCAGAGGGGGAGAACGAGGGGAGCGGGGAGACCCAAGAGAGGAGGGATGGAGAGGCAGAGGAGCTGATAGGAATCAAAGAGGGCTCCACAACACATCAGTGGTCCTCCGCACATCCAATCCTCTCCAAGCTTCTGCACTCCTCCTCCTCCACCTCCTCCAGCTCCTCCATCAACTTCTCCTCAGCAGAGAGCGATGAGGTCTTCAGTGAAGGAGAGGATGTTGGCTCAAAGAGGAGGGCCTTCAGGAAGGTGAGATGCAGTTTCACACGTTGTCTTGCATATGCTAGCCCAGTCTATGCACTTTCCATGGCGATGGCTTAATACAACTACATTTCTCAACTGTCATTCACACCTGTGGTCCTGCTGATTTGCATCGGCTTGAAAGAGGACTTTGACAAAGTCGGATTTGAATGGTGTTTGCATGCCTGACTCTGGCTGCTGTAGATAGGACAGTAGAGGGAAGCGGGCAGTGGGAGTAGGAGGAGGGAGTAGATCTTCTCAGTATTTTGCATTGTTGTACATAGTAAGCCTCGACTAAATAAAAGAGCACTACATAAGAAGGTGAACTAAGCATACATAGCATATAATGTAGACATTGTGTGAAAGGGACTCCACTAAGCATGCTCTGGTCTACCTTTGCTTCCCTTGTTCATTTAGTTTTTCTTTGGTGTGCCTGGTGGCAGCTGCTTTGTGTATATACAAAACAGATCATAACTGTTGAGGTATGCGCTGTTGGTAAAAGCCAAACACACAGACAGACACTGCGCTAACACTTTTAGACGGGCACAAAGGACTTTATAGGTGTTTGTACCATACAGTGAGCTTTCAGTTATTTAAATGGTCACAGTTACAAAAGGTGTAAATAATTAAATGAGTGATGGTTCCAGAAATTAAGGCTGCTTCAGTTTCAAGGTGCTGCTATTGTTCATGCTGGGTCACCGTCATATCTTCCTGGGACAAAATAAATATAACATAGCCATTATTGACCTGTATATTTACTACTACGACAAATCAAAATATCTGCTTTGAGGTAGACCTGCGTGTAGACCTTTGGTTGTCACCTATTTGATACAGCATATAGGCTGCCTATACAAATCAAAATGACCATATTGTAAAACTGGAATTAAAGATGTGATCAGGTTATCAGAATCAGAATACCTTTATTAGTCCCACAGAGGGGACATTTGCATCGTTACAGCAGGAAAGAGCCACAGACAGTGAACCTGCCTGAGGACCACAGATGGAAATTAGCTATTAGCTATAATCTGGCATATTGCATCTCTTCTCTTTGCTGAGATTAATGTTTTTGTATGCATGGTCCTTCTATACATAAATACAAAATAACAGCTTAATGTTACATAAAAAAGTACTAAGTTATGATACATAACCTTATCCTTTACAATGTGACTTGAATCTAATTGTAATTTGTCTCAAATCAGGGCTGATTTTAGGTAATTATTTTTAATAATTATATAGCCAAACCCTGATTGTTTTTATAGCCCACTGTCTCCTCACTAAATCAAGTTCCTGGTTCAGCCTGGAGCCTTTCAACTTGCATGCAGATGTTCAGGTTTAGATGAACTCTGAACTGCCTGCAGGGGGATGTGTTTCTCTGTGTTCTTTACCCCTGTGGCCTTGCCAAAGATCTAATCATACTAGAAAAGGCTTGTCTACCTGTTGGCCTTGCATGAAGACTTAAACATAATCTGCTCTTCTTTTGGGCCTCAGAGCCGCTCCTGGAAGACCTACCTGACCATGATGCACTGGTCTCTGCGGCGGCAGGGCTCCTGGGTCCAGCTGGCTGGACATCAAGGCATGTTCATCCAAAACAGACACATGCAGGCACTCAGAAACTACTGTTTAAGTTTAGAGATAAATATGAGAGCGATCAGACCACTTAAATGCACTTAAATGGTGTAGATTCATGCTGTGATGGTTATCTCACTGTGCATACATCACTGCTGCTATTTTAACAGACTTTGTCATAGTTCATCCACCATACACCAACACATTGAATCATGTCAACCATCTCTGAGTAAAGGTTTCTCATCTAATAAGAAGGTTTGCTCAAGTTAAAAAAGGAAAAAACACAACAAATGATGATATCGGCCTTCTTGTTTTATTAAACACATGTGGATAGCTTCCCTTGGTACTGTCATCACCAGGTAACTTCCAGCTGAGTGAGGGAGGGGAGGTGTTGAAACTGTACTGTGAAGTGGAGGCAAAGTGTCTGGACTCCCTGATGATAGATGCGCTGAGACCCTTCGTCCCGCAGTACCACGGCTGCGTCACCAGAGGGGAGCACTGCTACATCCGCCTGGAGGACCTGCTGAGCGGCCTGAGGAGACCTGTCATCATGGACTGCAAGATGGGAGTCAGGTAGGCTAGAGAGTAATATTTATTTTGACCAGCAGCGACTACATGGACGAAATTATAGAATAGACAGCGAGACATGGAAAAGGCACTACCATCTCATCTAGGAGCAGATTTTGATATGCTTTGCATTGGTTTTGTAGTTTTTTTTGTGTCTGTCTAGGTTTGCCCCTTGTAGACATTTGTGTCTCTTCGCAGGGAGGTGCTTAGCATCTCCTGGTCGTAATACATTCTCTTTCTTATTGGTACATGTCTACCAGTGACATTTTAGGCCCATGTTCTTATGCCTGGTAAAGTTGCTCATTGGTGACCACAACGGTCTTGCAGGTATTTAATTCGATGTTGTAGAAAATAGTTAGTTAAGATCAAATGAGGGTCTGAGTGGTAAAAGCAAAGCAGTGTGTTTTTAAATACATTACAGTTTATTTCTCAGGACATACCAGGAGGAGGAGGTGGCAAAAACCCAGACTAAGGCCACTCTACGGAGTGACATGTACCAGAAGATGGTGAAAGTAGACCCTTCCGCTCCATCAGTGGAAGAACACGAACAGAAAGCGGTGACCAAGAGTCGGTACCTTCAGTGGAGGGATACAACCAGCTCTACGTCCACGCTGGGTTTCAGGATAGAGGGCGTCATGGTAGGGGTAAAAGGCATCACAGCAGGACTATTTATGAAAAAATTGCCATTTACCTGATTGTTCTTATCAAGTGACATGTCTGTGCTGCTGTGTTTATTTTCTGTGTGACTCAGATGGAGGATGGCAGTGTCCAAAGGGATTTTAGGAAAATTCTGACTTTAGCTAAGGTCACTGAGGCAATGCTCTACTTCACCCGGAGTCAGCTGGATATCCTGGTCAGTTTTGTCTGTCTGTCTGTCTGTCTGTCTGTCTGTCTGTCTGTCTGTCTGTCTGTCTGTCTGTCTGTCTGTCTGTCTGTCTGTCTGTCTGTCTGTCTGTCTGTCTGTCTGTCTGTCTGTCTGTCTGTCTGTCTGTCTGTCTGTCTGGCTGTCTGTCTGTCTGTCTGGCTGGCTGTCTGGCTGTCTGTCTGGCTGGCTGGCTGGCTGGCTGGCTGGCTGGCTGGCTGGCTGGCTGGCTGGCTGGCTGGCTGGCTGGCTGGCTGGCTGGCTGGCTGGCTGGCTGGCTGGCTGGCTGGCTGGCTGGCTGGCTGGCTGGCTGGCTGGCTGGCTGGCTGGCTGGCTGGCTGGCTGGCTGGCTGGCTGGCTGGCTGGCTGGCTGGCTGGCTGGCTGGCTGGCTGGCTGGCTGGCTGGCTGGCTGGCTGGCTGGCTGGCTGGCTGGCTGGCTGGCTGGCTGGCTGGCTGGCTGGCTGGCTGCTGGCTGGCTGGCTGGCTGGCTGGCTGGCTGGCTGGCTGGCTGGCTGGCTGGCTGGCTGGCTGGCTGGCTGGCTGGCTGGCTGGCTGGCTGGCTGTCCGTTAAACACTAGTTACATTTTCAGTGTCGCTTCTTGACCTCTATTATGTTGTTTGTAGTTGTAAAATCCTATTCCTCCCAATTTACGTTTCCTTTTTTACGTTAATCCTTTACCCTGTGATGTAGTATCTGTGTCTGCTAAATCTCACCTCTGCCCATGTGTGCACTCAGAAAGCGTACCACTCCAGACTTCTGGCCCTGAGCGAAGCCCTGAAGAATTCACTGTTTTTCAGGAGCCATGAGGTTGGTTTTGAGACAATTAGTATAATTTTAATTTCCGCCTTAAATCAAATTAAATTGATAAAAATGGATCTGAATCAACGCTTTCTTAATCTTCTTTGCTTGTTTATAGTCAACCAACTTGTTTTCATTTTGATGTTATTTACCTTTATTATATACATAATGTGTTTCTATCATGTTCATCTTTTTCAAGCTATCATTTTGTAAAACAGGGTTAAGGCAGTGTCCTTGTGTATGTCCTTGTTGATTTTTCTATGCTGATGATACAATTTAATTTGTTTATTATCAGTTGTTTAAACATTTGTTAACCTCGATGTTAAGTGCCTGAGGCTCCTTGAAAACAAGATATCTGAAGTCTCAAGGGGGTCCATCTTCTTATTACATCGTTAAATAAATAAATGATTTATCTGTTTGACCTGATCAGGTGATTGGCAGCTCGCTCCTCTTTGTCCACGACCACAGCAGCAAGGCCAGCGTGTGGATGATAGACTTTGGGAAGACGACCCCTTTGCCTGACAGGCTCGAGCTCCGACACAACATCCCGTGGGCCGAGGGGAGCCGGGAAGACGGCTACCTCATCGGTCTGACGTCCCTCATCGCTTCTCTGAGCCAGGCCATCAGTGTGGCCTCTTCTCAGCAGGAGGACAGCTGCGGAGAAGAGCAGAGTGTTGCATGAAGTACACTGAGAGATGTGGGGGTGACCAACTCCCACTAAAAAACACTTATATTCAGGATCAGATGGATACATCACTGCTGTTACACTTTGAACTGTTGCATCGTTAGATTCTCTATCTGGAAGACGCACAGCAGGGGAGGATTTGTTTATGGGGGGATCTTCCTCAAAGGCAGGGGAAGAGGACTGACAGTGTATTATTTAGATAACATCAATAGAAATGTAATGTGGTTGACTTGCAATTGTACATCTGGCATGTACCGTAAAACTAGAGACAGTGTTTAAATACTTTTTCTCCGTTTTTGTTTCCTTTTTTAATATTTGTAAAGGACCAAATACTGTCAACAAAAATAAATACTAAATGCATTGATAAACAAGAAGATTTTGCTTTATTTAAGCATTTTAATTATTTAGCCTTCATATCATGCAGCTAAAATGTTTATTTTTCCTCTTAAAGGCGTACAAAAAAGACATACTTATGGTTAATTTAATTTAACTTATATTAGACATATAAGACAGTCCAAGCTAATCGAAATGAACAAATCATGACACTATCCGGTCTTTTTCAATATAACTAAAGCTGCAACAAACAACTGTTGTTATTATTGATTACTATTGATTAACTCATTGAGTAACCTGCTAACAATTTTATAGATTAATCAATTCACATTTTGGTAAACAAAAAGTGTATATCCCAGTTTCTCAAAGATCAAAATCATGGTGTTAAACGTCTTGATTAGTCAGTTTATAGATATTTAGTTATACAATATAAAACAAAGAAAAGCAGGAACTCTTCATATTTGAGAGGCTGAAAAAAGGACTTCAAATGATTTATCGAATAGACCCAAGTTAACATGCTTAATCTGTGATGATTGATAGAATGAGACAAAAACGTATAATCATGTGCAGGGACGTGCACAGACATTTGGAGGGGCTATTGCTCTAAACTAGAAAAAGGGCCGCCCCCCGACCCCCCTGAAAACGTAAGAACTTTTTATAAAAAAATTAAAAATGAAAACCAGGGGAAAAAATTGTTTGCGGTCCATATCTCATTAACATATCTAATGTTAGTAACTATTAAAGATAAAATGCGGACAATTCTGTTTTAATGTAGTTTGACCATTGTAACTGCTGTGCCTTAAATAAAATCACTAATTGATTAAACCAGTTCAATACGCATTATTCTTATTCTTATCATTCATTATGAGCGCATACGGTAAGGTATCTAATTACTTATGTATTTAGTATTCTATAACTTAATAACAGAGATTGTCAAACTAAAGTAGAGACATGGCAGAAATCCAACAATGAAGCGGGACAGTGAAGTGTTCTCCCGTATGTGAGAGAGGGCAATCAAGAAAAGAGAGAGAGGGAGTTTACGGAGCAGATGAAAAGACACAGAAAGACAGAAACACAATAACAAGTATATTTAGGTGTTTTTTTTGTAATAGCCGACGGTGTCAAGAGGAAGTAAAGTCCCTGGTTTGTCCCCTATACTCATGCCATGAGAACACTCAAAATCAATTTAAGCATATTTAAAAACGGGAACATTTCCGGGGACAGATTGATCACATAGCCATATGAGGCCGGACCGGACTCGGAGGGCTTTCCTTTGCTTTCAGCTGTCAGATTGTAAACAAAGTCACGTGACTGGCAGATGACAGCGCTGACAAGGTGTTTTATCGCAGCGAGACTCTTCAATACTAATTGTGGGCTTATCATGTTTATTCGGCCACAACGGAACAAAAAGACGTTCGCTCTCTCCAGAGGGGCAGGTCAGCCAAAAAGTTCAAAAGGGCCGTTGCCCGGGCAACATTAGCCCGTACCTGTGCACGTCCCCTGATCATGTGGAATCAACATGGGTGGGGAAAAACCAAGATATAAAAAGTATTTACCATATACAGATATAATCGTTTTACTCATGCATGGTGTAGGTTTGCTCCCACACATGGGAAATTGTCTTCTATGACTTTATTCTGCAACTATAATAGGTAGCCTATATCATATGTATGAGGCAGTGAATACAAAGTGAGAAGCCCTCTCTGAATGTGTCCGAGAACAGATGAGCGGACGGGCATGTTCCAGGACGTAGAGACACTGAGACCACAATAGTGGCACAAAGCCCAGACCTGGCAGCAGACTCAGGGGGAGATTTAAGAGGCCAGCTGCCTGAAGCCGGGACCAATGTGTATCCGGCCAACTCAGAATGCCCGAGCAAATACAATGATCTGATGGGGTTACCTCAACCTGAGGGCGTCAGGGAGTGGAAGGATATGCAGCCTAAAATGAAATAAAGGAAATCTGTTCAAAGCCATCCTTTGTTATATTCGACAGAGCTAACCATTTGCATGCCTTTGTCCCTCACTGACCCATAGACAGGGTGCCCTAAAACAAACTGATCTCATACTGCTCTGGTTGGTCATAATTAATACACATAGGTGAACATGTTTCTTTACATTGGGTCCCACTTGTGTAGAGTGGTTCTCAAACTTTTCTGGTCAGGCCCCCCCTTTGGAGAAAAAAAAAGTCGGGGCCCCCCCAACACAAATAGTCAGGCTCAGTAGCTCAGGTAGCTTGACGTTTCATAGAGGGTGCTCAAACATTTAGGGTTTCCCATTAATGTACCGGTCGCTACAGTGGAATTTTCTACTGCAACATTCCCCACGCATATACACAGTGTACCCGCGACTGTTACAATGAAGGCTCGATCATCAGTTTACGGCATATAGGTGTAAGCAGGGGTAAAGTGCTATTTTTATAGGTGGTGTGTGGACCTCACATAGGGGGGTCCCGGGGCAAGCTCCCCCGGGAAGATTTCATTTTTAAATATTGAAGTTAAATGCATCAATCTGGTGCACTTTGAGAGCAAAATGAAGAGATCTATGGATACATCTCTCAACACGTAATAGTACTGTACTGCATCATAATATTTTCGAATCAATCATTTTTAAAATTATGATTTTTTATTTTGTTTTAACCATTTTTCCTCCTGGTCTCTCGTGCCCCCCCTGGCATGCCTCTGCGCCCCCCTGGGGGGGGGGGGGGGGCGCCCCCCCACTTTGAGAACCACTGGTGTAGAGTAATATGTTTCCGATATGCAATTGTAAAATAAAACATACAAATACATTAAAATAAATTAAAGTACTAAACATATAGTTTATCTATACATGGGTGACATATCCCACTCTTTAAGTATCAATATTAATGAATATTTCAATGTATTTGCAGACAATCAGATTAGTATAAAAACATAAAGGAATGGTAGGCTACCTAATAACAATATTTAGTATGATTAGATTAAATGAATTTGGAGATACATGTGTACTCGATTCAATCACACCACAAAACCTTGCTAAATCTAACTAAAACATAAACTCCAGAACTGATACTAAAAGAAAAGCCGTTTTGGAGCCGCAGGATCCGGATCTCATTGATTTACCGAGTCAAGTGATCCGGCTCATTAAAAAGAGCCGTAACACCCACGTGATGTGATCCATTCGGGTCCAAAGTGAGCACCAGGTGGCGCCATTGATTTGGTTCGTGCTGGATACAATTTAGCGGTACAGTCAGGCCGATACCAGCAGGGACTGCAGGCAGGGACAAATTTAGCCCATAACATCTATATTATATTTATTACCGCGTTAGAAGAGATTGATCGGGAAATATTGTTTGGTAGTGTCTGTAAATGCAGCAGAGTGCCGTGCTAAGCTAACAGCTAAGCTAGCTTAACAACTTTACCGCTCATCTGACCGGGTGAAGTTGTACACAAGGGACAGGCCACGTGGATATTTTTCTTTTTAAATGCTTTCCTTTTTTTAACATGTTCCTGAAGACTAGGCCTGGAGATTTCTCCCGGATGGATCGTGTGCATTTATCCGAGAGAAGCTACCCAAACCTGGCCGTAGTGACACGTGTTTTGGATGACAGTAAGTTTGGTTGATTACATCCAAGGTTACATCCAAGGCCTTGTAGTTTTTCTTTGGGGTAAATTCGAGTAATTATGGGAGTCAAAATAGATATATCGATAGGGATACATCTGACGGGGATGGCATGGTTTACTAGTTGAACATTTACAAATAAATAAAGTTAAATTGGCCCTGTCAAAGTGTCCCTACACCAGTGAGTGGCAGACTCATATATATATAGTCTATGGGCAGACCCTGAACATTGTCGGCCTTACAAGTACTGTTAGATTGATAAATCACGAAAAAGGTCACCACTGAAGCCGGTTGAAAATGGCAATGGCTCACTGTGGGAGCTGACTTTTTTAAATGTAAATGATTCACTTAATCACATACATTTTCTGATGAAAAATAATGCATTTTTTTTTTTACAAATGTTAGGTTTCTTATAGTAGATCAAACATTTAACTTCTTTACTTGAACAACGCATGACTGATTTCCTGTTTATTCAAGATTAAGATTACAAATATAATCATAAATACAAAAATAAATGAAAACAAACATTTGTGGTAGGCTGAATTTAAAACATGGTTGTAGTGCGTGTATATGCAATACTTAAAACATTTGACATATTTTATATACACAGATACAAAACAGATGTCAACATGAATGTAGTACCTGTATGTTTATAATGAGAAGTAATAGATAGCAGAATCATACATTTTAAATAAATGAATTTACTTTTGTGTATTGGTGCATAACATTGACATAGTAGGAGATAATTAAATACAACAATATATCAAAACGTTGATATGAAATGAATGTTAAATATAACACAATAAATGGTATTTGAAGGTATAATTATATCTCACGCTCAACCTCGAGATCTACCTTATACACAGACAAAAGTATGTAGCCAGAACTTAATCAATAAGATTTTCTTTTTTATTATTAAAATAATACCAAACACTCGCTTTTGGTCTTTGAACAGAATAATTTGAAAACAGTTAATGATTATGTCTATAAAGGTATGGATTTATCTCCCTGAGACAATATTTATTTGAGATGTGCAGGTTATACTTCACACATTTATATGGTTACACCACAAGCAGAATGAGCGGCTCCCTAGATTCACAAATACACGAACATGCTGTTTGTTGACTTTATTGTTATCATTTCTACGTTGGTTACCATAACGGTCAACGGGCAAACCCTGGGCTGAATGCTGCTCGGCTTTCGTCCGTGTGTCCGTGGAACAACATGGGGACATTTAATATAGCATTGGAGTTTATTTAATGTCGTCTAGTGTTTAACAACGTTGTTGGACATCCCTCATTATGGCTCTGCGTTCACTGGACCGA